TTCTTCCTTCCATCCTGGAGGTGCAAAGCACCACGTCTCAGTCTGCAGCTGCCTGCAGAGCCCTAACCTACGCCGAATTACCGTCCCAGAATTCTGCATCCACCTGGTTCTTGTCTAGTTCTAATAATGGCCACAGGCTGCATGCAAGTCACCAGAAGAGTAGGAAACTCAAGCTGGAAATAAGCTGATAACTACTGCTGACTATGTTATTAATAATGTGCACACAGTGTCCACTTAACTAATGAGAGGAAACCAGATCTACAAACAGACATATCAGACTAGAAATATCTTTAAGTTTTTCCATAAAGAAGTTCCATAACGGCCCAGATTTATCACAAACTTTCTTATATACTTCGAAAGTCATATTATTGCAAACTGAGCTTTCAAAAGTAAATTAGCAAAACAGATCTTGAAACCATTAATAATTGTAAAAACATTCTGAGATACGTTAAGATACAAAATATTTTCCAAAATCATTTATGTCATTACACTGCCCCACCGGTTTTACATTTATGCTACATAAATTTTGAGAAGGTCTATTTGCTTATGTTTAACAACACAGAGCAAGAATAATTTCCTAACGCACATTAAGAATGGTCACATAACACCATCTATCCTTTCTGGGGTATTCTCAAGACTTCAACCAACTGATACAGTGTGACCTTTGCCACTGAGCTATTTTGATCAGCTGTAGCTGGCAAGCCACCGGGCTTTGGGGAGCCCATCACAAGAGTAGCTGTTTCACTAGCTCTCCTGCCAACTCTAATTCCTCAGCAGGAACCTGCCCATCAGTCTGTGAACAGTTGCCGAAACGGCACACTGGCAAAGGGCTTCTTGCTCAAGTGTCCCAATTAAATGTATTGTATCATTTCCTAACAGTGTTCCTTGGACCACTGCTATTCCCCAAGGTAATAACCTGTGGTCAGGCAAATCTGTAAACTCCTAGGTCAAGCACAAGTTACCAGGAGATTTCTCACAGCCTTCAAGGCGTTAATGCATCTCCTCCATCTCCTGGAGCAGTATTTGGCCGTGGGAAATTAGTTTTCACAAAGTATCAGAGAAGTACTGATCCATGAAGCTTTACTGACCAATCAGATCAGTGAGCCTTTACCTGAGAAAACATACCATATTCTAATTAAGGTTCACTGATTGCTACAAGTTGAAGAAAACAAATAACCTACCAAATTTGGAATACCTTCTATCTCACCAAGTGGTTTACTGCATTTTTCGGGTAAGTTGCAGATTCTGGTTCCCCGAGGTATACTAATCAGAAATCTGCTTCTCAACCTCTACCCACTGAATCTAATCTTGTCCCTGGGTTGATGTTTGGGGGTCAGGGGGATTACTTATGCATAAACAGCCCTTTAAATATATGGCAATAACTCTCAAGTCACCATTTTATATGTTTACATGGCACTTTAATTTTACAAAGTTATTTTTACATTCTTTTACTGATGCTTCATAAGAATATTACTGATTTACAAATAAGATCAGGGATTAGGTTACTATAACTATAGCGAATGATTTGCCAACCTCACAAAACTATCAAGAGGTAATATAACTAAACCAAGATCTTCCAAATTTAAAAATAGGTATACTTTAAACTGATCAAAGGCTGGGATTTATCAGTCCTTCATTCTCAAAGCGCTGTTGAATATGGTTTCTTTCTTAAGATACTCAACTGCTGATGTGCACCCAAAGTTCTACAATGCATCTCACAAATAAGCACTATATGAGTCTCAATCATTTATTCCTCAAATAAACGATTATGCCATTTATAAGGAAAATATTACAAGCTTTCCCATAGTTGCCAGCTGATAAAAGAGCAGAACTAAAATTCAAACCCAGGGTTTTCATCTCTACAGTAAGAGTTTGCTATCCCCAAAATGCCATTTCTTGAAACTCAATAGATTCCCATAAATTACCTTACTTTGCCCCTATGTTTTTAAGTAAAATTACTAAGTACTGTCAATTCTATTGCAGTACTGCTTCATGTTACATAAACTCTTTCCTGAAGTGACACATGTAATCATGCCTAAAATCCACCCTGCCCTATCTGACTCCAAGAAGTCTTCCTAGATTTAGCTCACCCAATCTACTCAATCCTATACTTCCTGTGTCATGGCTGATTTCTGGAACCAGATGGCCTGGGTTTCACTCTTGGCTCTATCACTTCTAAGTTCTGTGACATTGGGCAGGCAACCTGACCACTGTTTCTGAGTCTCCTTACCTGTAAGAATAGTATCTGCCACATGGGGCTGATGAGTAAACGACATGATCTGTGTAAACTATTTACAAGTTTTCAGGCACTTGTAAGGACACTACATATAAATAGTCTCTACTCTTTTGTCTTGAAATGTTTTTCACTTATTTGAAAATAAACAAATCCATAGTGAATGGTAGGATACAAATCCTTGGGTTCATACACTATTCACCGCTAAAGATGAATCAATACCAGTAAAGAAGGATCAAATTGGATTTCATCTCCTCTGGGGTCTTAACATCTCTTAATGACGCAAATATAGCGCACCCGCACAGCATGGGGAACTCACAGGGCTGAAAAGTAAGCAGCAAAGAGAGGCAGCAGTGGCTTTAGGTCATACATAGTCTCCGTCTTCCGCTCATAGCTCTGCCATCTGTGAGATGTTACCCAGGCAAGTTGTCTCACCTTCTTGAAATAAATGTCCTTAATAACTATCATTAAGCACCATTTTTTTAAAAATTAAACGGATGGCCTATGTAAAAACCTCATACTTATCAGATGCTAAATAACTGCATGTTCTCCTGCTTCAACAGCATAGGTTATAATTAGAGCTTATTAGAACTGGGGAAGTGGTAGTGAAAATGGGAAAGCGGTATTTGTGACCATACAACACGTAGAGACTTTGTGAAACTGAGGAAGATAATACAAGGTGAGTTTTAAATGACCCTGTCCGTGACCACACGCAGAGTGAGTTTCAGAGACTGATTGTGGCACAGGGTAGTATCAGCACTCTCAGTGCTTTCTCAATTAGAGAAACCAAGGAAAACACACTAGGGGCAGGGTTTTCTTTTAAAAATCATGTTAACAGCCTCTGAAAAAAAGAAAACTAGTGTCCAAGAAGAGTTGAGGACATGATGCTTGAGAAAAATCTGCATTCACCCTGCACTGGACTCTCCTAGAAAAAAGAGCTAAAAGTGGTAAGCTCCTTAAGTAAAGCCGACTGGAAGGCAGAGAAGTGGAGGAGTGAATCCCAATGAACGTGCCGCAAACTCAACCTGGCCTGATGGCTGTGGAGGTCACACAGCTACTACAGTGGGTGCACACACACATGAGCGTGCACATACATGTACACGCACGCACGCACTTCTCTACTTCGTTAAAAAACAAAAAGGAAGAGGTATAAAAGAGATAAGCTAACTCCAAGTGACTAGAAAACCTTGCCAGGTCCAATGGACCGTTAGCCATCCCTTTTTCACCAGGCTTTTAATTCCCTTTTGATTTGAAGATACCAATCATTTTTTTTTAAAGGTTTATTTATTTGGGAGGACGGAGGGGCAGAAAGAGAAGGGGAGAAAGAGATCCCAAGCAGGCTTTGTGCTGTCAGCAGAGCCCATTGTGGGGCTCAAACCCTGAGCTGAAGATGATTAACTGAGTCACCCACCCAGGTGCTCATCAAGATACCAATCTTAATCTTAATCCAGTGTCTGTACCTTGAAATTCAAAAGATTTTAGACAGATATAAGGTGTATTTAAAATACCAAATTGGGAGTGCCTGGGCAACTAACTCCTCATTTTGGCTTAGGTCATGATCTCACAGTTCTTGGGCTCGAGTCCCACACCAGACTCTGAGCTGGCAGAGGGAAGCTGGCTTGGGATTCTCTCCTTCTACTCTGCCTCTCCTCCAACCTCCTGCATGCACTCTCTCTCAAAATAAATAAACTCTTAAAAAAATAAAATGCTAAGTTGAACAAAATGCTACAATGTTAGGTTAGGCTGATCCAATATTAGCTAAACCTTGACAAGAATACTAGCACACTATGTGAATTTGTCAACGACCAAGAAAAGGTTCTAGACCTATCAAAATATAAATCTAAAATGTTCTATGAGGGCAAGAAAAAAAATGGTCTAAAGCAAGCTTCCTGGATATTACAAAAATTAAATGCTTAAAAAAACTATACATAGGGCTATATTATTCTTTTGTGTGGTTTAGATTTTTCAAAATAGGAAAAAGACCACCCTTCAGTGTTACAGCAATTACGTAACTGAAGAGGGCCACCTCCAGCTCTAATCAGTTCTAAGGACACGAACATCTGGCTTCCCTAAAGAAGTCTTTTGACAAAAAAGGAAAGAGAAAAGTACCTCAAGATCCCTATCTCCCATCTAGTTTGTTTCTGTACTTGAAATGTATTATTCCCGAATGTTAGCTCTCCTCCATGGTTCAAGAGGGTAACACTCCCATTTATGTGAGACCAGGTCCAGCGTATAGAACACAAGAAGTAATCATCTTTAGACTAGACTCCTGCAGGGCCACAAAACATGTGGCTACAGCTTAATTTATACAAGGATACATTTATTCTGAAAACTTAGCTCACTCAGTATTTTCATACATCAAGAATGTATCGTCCCCAAAAAACAACCCACCACTTGATTTTTGATCATGGTCCAAAGCAACTCATAACTGAAAGAACTTTCTGGTCTGGTTACAGAAGAAAATTCAACTTGATGTCCCACTCTGATAACAGGAAGTAGAACTTAGCAGCAAGTGCTACAAGGAGAAAGACCCAGGCACTAAAATGTGACCATTTAGTAATAAGAAAGCAGCATTTTCCTTACCGGTTTCCTTAAAACTAAAGGCAGCATCAAACTACTACATGCTGTTACAAACAGAGACAGTAATAAACCTCAGACTGCTTCGGGCCAAAAAAAGCAAAACAAATCTGACTACCTTGAAAGCATAATCATTTCTGACAAACCAAGAAACGTTTTATTTTAAAAAAAGATGTTGCCATATACTTACTTGCTAATTTGGCCTGTAATCCAGAAGGGCCAGGTTTTGATGTCTCTGACTTAGAAGACCCTGGAAGAGACAGTTTGGTTTTAGGAAGGCTAACTTTAGGGCTGAAACGAGCAGCCCAATCGAATTTTGACGAGCCACCAGTTTTACTCTGTTCCTTTTCCCTGCTACTTCTTCTGGGACTGGGACTGGATGCTGAACGGGACCGCCTGGCCTTGTTCTGGTCTTTTCCTTGTTTCACCCTGGCCCCTGGTGGTACGGCAGAGGAGGCCGAGGCAACAGCGGAAGATGAGGAGGAAGTAGAGGCGGCAGAGGAAGAATCAGTGATGGTGCTGCACCCAGCCTTGGCCGAGGCGGCGGATTTTGAAGCCAGCTTGGTGGGTTTTGCAGATCGCTCTTCGGCACCAGTTGACTCAGACACAGAACCACTCTTTATACAAGTACTCTCTGTCCTCTTTCGTTTCTGACTCCGTGAACTGCCAGCGGCCCCACTCTTTCTGGTATGAGCCTTACTTGTTGACGGCGAGTGTGCAGATTTCAATTGTTGCTCCTGATCTAAATGCCTCTTCTTTGACTTACTATGTGGCTTATTCGTTTCTGACGGGGATTCAGTACGCTGAAGTGCTTTTGGTTTTTTGGCAGAGCTGGGAGAGTTGGTCCTGTTGTAGTCTGGACTAGCACTGCGTTTCACTCCTCGAGAATTGTCTTTCTTAGGCACCTGCCCCGTTTTTTGCCTTTCTGAAGTATTGGCTCTGTCTGGATCCTCTGGTTGTGGAACTATAACAGCAGATGATGAACTGCAGCTTCTGACAGGTTAGATAAGAAGAGAGTTAATATCAGCCTGCCATCATTAAACCTGTCATATAATACTTATTGACTTCTCGAATCTATGCAAATAAGTGCTTTTTTAAAAAGGTGCGAAAATTTTCCTGATTAAGTCCAGGGCTAAATAAATACACGTATACAGGTTTTCAAATGGTTCAAAACTGGGGGAAAAAAGATAAAAATAGAAAAATAAAACAGGTGTGACTTTGGATGGTTAGATCAAGGCATTTCTTCAGCCCCAAGACTACTGACACTAACCCTCCTTATCACAAAACCAGAATGAAGTTTATAAGAAAAGGAATGCTTAGCGGCTTAGAACCAGTTGAAACTAGAATACCGATGCTCTATTCATAAATACAACTTCTTTGTCAAAGTTTTGAATAACCATTAATGTATGCACTTTGCAAATGAAGGTTTTAGAGTATTGTGTTATTCCTCTCTAAAAGACTCCTACCAATCAGACCATCAGAAATCAATGACCTTTGGCTCTGCCAATAAAAAACTTTAAGAAACCTAAGGGGGAAAAAAGGTAAAATGGCATTTCGGATGCCCATAAAAGTTTGTTGAACACGCAGGTTCTCTAAGCAAGGGAAAAACTGAATTGCCTAGAGCGTGCTGCACTGACATCACTGCAAAGATAATAAACTATTAATCCTCAAAGTTACATTCAGGGAATAATGAAAAAAATCTATCACAACATTTTGGGATAACCTAAATTTTAATATTATGCAATGATTCAAATGCAAATAATTCTGCCTTGAAAATGGTACAAGCAATGTGAAGATTTACCTTTTAGAAAGGTGTCCCCTTGACAGTTCAGAAGTAGTATTAGACTGCACTTTGGGTGCCTTAGAATTAGATTTTCTACTCTCAGGAGGGCTATATCCCTTATGTTTTGCCTGCCCTAAATGTGACCTGTCAGCAGAAAATCAAAACAGAAATCTATCAGGAAACTGAGATGCAAATACAGTACTGAAAGTGAAATAGGTTTTCATTTTCTCAAGCGTCCCAATTCTTCATTATTGACTCTACCCTTTTCCCAAATATTTCCATAATTAAGTTATTGCTCTGCCAAATAATCTTGCCAAAAAGCCTGCCTTAGAACCGACTCTCCAATACCTAAGAGTTAAATCTCTTATTACCACTTTTCATGACTGAGCAGCAATATTATAGTTACTTAAGCAATAAAGAATTTTTCAACAATTTTACTATAAATTCACATATACTAAATTTTTGTAAAACACAAATCCAGACTTTAAATCTAAATACTACTTTTAATGGATAATATGAGTATAACTGCTTCAAAGCTTTGAGGAAGAGGCAGTCTGTGATCTCCACAATGTTGCTGATTCCCAATTATTTAACTCAGGTTAGCACAGTAAATGCAGAGACAGATGAAATCAATTCTCAAACTGATTTTACACAGAAAATCACCAGAAGCACTCAACAGTAAATAAACTTACATGAAATCGATAAGAGTGATATTTGCTAAGAATGCAATGCACGAATCAGTACAAAGCACACCAAAAACCAAGTCCTAGAGAAAGAAGATAAAGAACTGACCACAAAATATTCCAAACACATTCAGAAGATTCCATCATTGATATATGGCTGGGTTATATTTATAATCAGGCAAATCCTTGTGCCAGCATTGTTCTAAGAGCAAGTCTGCAGGACAGGAATGACTGTTTTTCAGCTGTTCGATTTTTTTTCTTTTTAACCTCAGGCAATGATTACATTAGATTTACATAAGCAGTAAAAAGAGAGCATTCATTAATACATGCCCAGGAAAGCTGCTGTTACAGAGGTGAGAAGTGTTAACGTAATAGATGCAACTATTGTAATTCACAGACAACATCCATCCTTCATGTAAATAACATAAAAGAGCATGTTCTAATGAAAATAACAAAGTCTAATTAATACCAAAGCTGTTTATTTTGTTAGAAAATATCTTTAAAAGGGTTTCATTCTAACATCATTGCAAAGGAACTCATAAATAAGCCACTGAAACCTCACATCATGATTCTAATTGAATCTGTAAGGATGCCAGACAGTTCTTAACACACTATCATACAAGTTCCACCATTTCTTCAAAAAGATGCTCTAAGGTTTCTCGCCTTTTTTTTTCTTCCACTTTTCCAGAAGTGTTCAATACTGGATTCTTGAAAGAAGATATGAAATTAGCTTCTCAATAAAAAAGAAATATTTTTGGATCCTCTAATATTATTTTCAATTTTAATAAACAATAGACTAGTACTTTCCAAAGACTTACTAGAATACATCAACAACAAAAAACCTCTAAATTAGTCTAAGTCATTAGTCTTTTCAAGTGTCTTAGTCTTGACTGTGGTAATGAATACAATTACTTTTCAAGGTTACTTAATATTTTTTTTCTGTGTAGCCAAGCTGAACCTTATAAGATTTATCCACTGTGATTTAGTTGCATTTTTCCTAAATACTCTTCCAATGCAGAGTGAAATTTTGTTTTAACCCATGGGTCTCCTAAGAGAGACTTAATTTCTGGGAATTGCTTTTATTTTTGTTACACTTCTACTAACAGATTTGAGACTTCTATTTTTAAAAAAGGAAAATGAAATTGAATAAATTGTCAAATCATCCCCTTACTTTTTCAACAGTGTATTCTGTTTTCAGGATACACAATATCCATGGAACAATATTTATAAATTACGTCATTCAAGTTCTCTACATTCTTATTTAAGTTTGCTAAGGATTAATTTTTTAACTGAATCACAATTTCTACTTCATTATGAAATTTAAAATATCCCTTCTGTATTGATTATAATTTTACATTTTAAAAGAAAATTGTATCTAAAGTTAGACTATTTTGTGATAACGTTCAATTAAATATTCAAATGGTAACCTTAAAAATGCATATGATAATATATTCCTAGTTAAGTCTCAAAAGGGGAGGGAATTCATTCTCTTTGTCAACAGATTTTGATCAACATTAACCTAATGCCTACAGCAGTGGAGAGGTAGCTGTCCTTTTTGTAGAGTAAATAAATTGTTCCCTGTTCTTAAATACATCTAACTTTATAGCCACTTAAATCAACTCTTGAATTTCTATTGTCCTTACCGACACCTTCAAGGAAGTAATTTATCAGTTCATTGCTCAACATTAGATTACAAAAGAAAAAAAAAAAACACCCATTTTAGACAGTGAAACTCACTAAACAAGCTTAACTACAACAGCACCCACACTGATCTGACTGCACCTTTCCTAAAATTACGTTAAGCATAATATCCTGAGTACTGGTTAAAAATATTTTAAGATATAAAATACTGACCACTACTGTCTTTCTGCCTATTGTTTAAGATGGAGTTAATAATACATCTTCTGTAAAGGGTAGTCATTATGGCACTGTGGGCAATACCAGGTGTCACAAAAGCAGGTATAAACAATACGTAAACAAATATGCAGGGCTATGTTCCAATCAAATTTTTATTTACAAAAGCAGGCAGGAAGCTGGATTTATCCCACGGGTCATACATTGTACGCAAACCCCTGGCTTACCACAAGAGAGTAAGCAAACAGATGGTACCATAAAGAGAAATATGGGGCCTCCCAAAGTGGGGCTCTGTTTTATTATGCCCATTTATAAATTATTAAAACTCAGAATACTGTAAAGTAAATCTCCATAAAATACCAACAACCAATCTAGCATACCCAATTAGAATATCACAGTATTCAGCACTAAACAAGCCTTGATGCCTTTTAGCTCATTTCAACACCTCCCTCACTTATCAGACCTTAATGCTCAACATTTATCTTTATTAAAAAGCATAATCAAAGACCCAGTAAAATTTATATCCACTATAAATCAAATTTGCAAGAATAACACAGTAAAATTCATGACAAACTCTTCTTGATAGCACCAGAATGAGCCCATTTAGTAAACTACATACAACCCAAGGATAGGTGGATAAAATGGGTGGGTGTGTATTTTCAGGAGCTTTTATATCATCCTACGGATAGATAATCCTGAAGAAAAACCTCACTTTCTGCAAAATCTAAAAATAATTTGGTTAACGTTGAAAGTAAGATTAGGCACAGAGCACTCAAATCTATGTTATTTTATGATCACATTCCTAACAAAAACATCACCAATTTTGAAATCTCCACTAACATTTGAACCAATAATCACAGTTGGCCCACTCTGGAATCTTATTTTTGTGCTTTCTCCTTTCAAGTGTGAATTTTTAGACATCTTCTCTTAAGACAGCTTCAGTAAAATTAAAAATACAATTCTGGGGGAGACTTTCCTTTTTCTCATTTTCTTTCTTTATAAATACAGGAGTAAATGGTTTTGAGCTTCCTTAGAATGTTTAACCATGCAAAGTGGGGTCGTTCTAGAAGTTACTGAACTAGTATTTCTTGCAAATGATTTAAGTCATTTCTTTAAGATTTTCAAGCTTTTTCCCAAGATCTTCATAGATTACCAAATCTTCCACTTTGACAGTCTATCCCATTTCAGTCCATATATTACCACTGGAGGAAATACTGCTTATGAGCCAACACTACTTCCGTATTATACTGACATCATTTCCCTATTTAACAAGTGTATATAGGCCAGCTCACATTAAACAAACCCAAGTTACAAGAGAACAGACCAATCAGCTCTGGGTTATGTGCTTTCAAGACTCAAATGCCTTTTGTTGACTTTTAGGCAAATCATAAGAACTGCCCCTTCTACTTTAATTTACGTTTACTGCTATTTATTAAAATAGTTGGTAGTCCAAAGGGTTAAATACCATCTCTAACCCAGAGGACTTCCATAAAAGGACCAAATCTTGTATCAAAGAGCTCTTCTTCTCTTAATGGTAGGTGAAATGAGTGGCTAGTTATAAGTAGTTAATACATCACGTCCTAAATTGTTTGAAATTAATTTTCATGCCAGACATATTTAAAATTCCAATACATACACATACTACCAGACAAATTACTTGCAGCTTAATTAAATCTCCAATTTTTTTATGTGTATACAGACATGCATGCATTTTTATGCCTTTATATTTTATATACACAATTAATATCGTAATTTTGTCTTCTGAAAATTAAATGCTTTGTTTATAATGTTCCTAAGTTAAATGCATGTTTTAGTAAATCACTGATTTTGAGTAATCATGCTGGAAAGTTCACTTAAATCATTTTAAACAAAAAGCTCACTAATGTTCTCAGCAAAATGTACCGTTTTCCTCTTTCAATCACAAAACAGAAGCTTGGTTAGTCTGACCAATGTTCCTATGTTTAGTTATGGTGAAAATGCTACCCTAATGGATTCTGTAATTTACAGTAAAGAACTCCTTATTTATCTTATAAAACAATGTTTTAAACATCACTGGTTCTCCCTCTAGGGAACATTGTGAAAACATGTTAGAGAACAGGGTGTTACTGCCATTTAGTGGGTGTGGACTGGAGGTAAAAGATGCCATGTAGTATGCAGAAGAGTTGGACAAAATGAAAAACTGTCCCATGACCCACAGATTTCAAGTAGCCGTAGTAATATATGAAAACCTTATGAAGAAACTTCAAATCTAGCTATAATGTAGGTAAAATTTATGCTCATAATTTCTTAACTTCTATTTGTTTTGCATGGTTTTTATACACATTTTCTCCAGTAATCCATGGGAACAACAGAAGATTACATTTTTGCTGCTCTACCATGGGTCATATATCATTCTGAAGAAGTCTACAAAGAAAATGCTGCTTATGGAATTTAAGTATGTTTCTGGAGCTGCCACATTCAATAAATTCAGATACAGATGCTTGCATCTGAATACAGGGCCATCTTGTGTCAATGCACCCAAGCATTTACCTACTAGATCACTTATTATCTTGAAATAAATTAAGTAACACTAAATACCTGTATAAACAGTTTAGAGACATAAAATGT